GAACGTATCGCCATCGGTGATATATCCAAGCCAACATTATGGATGTTCCGAGTGAGTTATTCATAGCGTTATTATTTTATGCTAAGAACTACACCTCTCCAGCTGAGATTGTCGCTTTGCTTTTTCTCATTTTCGGCTCTTTTATGGTGCTTGAGCTTCAGATGCAACACGATGGTGCCGCGTCATCGTTGCACGGTTCTTATGTATTCTCGGGTGCACTACAATCAGCATCCAGTGCAGCAAAGGGACCAACAGGGATTCTGATAGCTCTTGCGATCGTAATACTTGTTGTTGGTTTCGTCGTAGTACGCAAGCGAAGAGCTGCTTCGTCTGCTCGAGGCCCTGAAAAGTTTGATAAGAAGGTATTCAGTGTGAAGGAAAGTATAGATTTGAGACAATCACTTCGAGGTATCATGGAATAAAGTGTTCGGGTTTCCTTTAAAGGTTTACTTTTCTGAAGCTTGGAATGAGAGAATCGATATCAATCTCATTTTGGTTATGGATGAGAGTTTTTCTTAGGAACTTTATGTAAAACTGGTGACCATTAGCAATATTCTTAACGAATTAAAATGGATTTTTCAGCCATTAGTCCTTGCCTTTGTTCAAATTTCACAAATGTCCTAGAATACTCATTCATTTACAAAGCATGAGACTTACCAAATCCTTTTCGTCTATTTTGACCACATATTTTGCATTGCTTTCTTTTGCGGCCACTGCTGGAATGTATTTAAGATTTCAACTTTTTTTTCTTCGCTTACCTCTTTTGAAGGCAAACATCATCGTATTTGATAAGATAAGCCTAGCTATCATTGATCCAGTTGCAGGACTATCAAATTTTTTTTGACAAACCTCATTTTGTATGGTGCTCTCAAATGCAGTAGGAACCTTTAATGCCATACCAGAAGTTGTTGTCTCTAATCTCTTGTTCCCTACTTCATTTTCTTTGAACAAACTAGTACGTTTAATTTTTTTAGGGCTTCAAACCCCTTCGCACAGAAGAAACGGTTGGTTTAGTAAGTGACGGTTCCGAGAGTGAA